TCACCACCCAAAATCCTTGAATTGAAAAGACTGGACTTGCTACCTTGAAGAAAAACTATTTAACCATTCAAATTGTAGTATTTGAAAAAGGAGTTAACATTTTAAACAAACTAGAAAATTAGCCCTTGCTAATTGTACTAATTTTAACTGTTTAAAAAAGAACATTGTCAGTAATATGTAAGGATCTAATTTTGGAAGTTTAGACTTTGTTTGGATTGCTACTTTTTTAATGAAAATTTTCCCTTTTTTTGTAAATATTCTCTTTATATTTTCTTTGTAAACAAATAAGAATTTTATTATTCATGTATCTTTTTAATACATAAAATAATAAGTACATTTTGAAGAATTTTATTATTAGTGTTTCTTTTTAATACATAAAATAATATGTACATTTTGAAGAATTTTACTATTAGTGTTTCTTTTTACATGTAGTTCGTACGTTCTAGTGATTCTTTTTTTAATCTAATGTTCTAGTGATTCGTAAACTAATATAAATCTGTAGAAGTAACATAAGATAACATACACCACTCGATATACAGTGCCTGTCTTATCTATTCAACATAGGAAAAGGAAAAATTAAAGAAACCCCTAGGGGAAAAAAAATAAAGGAATTGCAATGTTGCATAACGAGGAAGGAAGAGAGACGAGTTGGCTCCAATAAATTCGTGTAATGAGAGAATTGGAAAGATTTGGGACCGGGACTTCCATGCCAACAGCCTCTTGGTATGTTGGTCACCAAAATCTCTTTAAGTCTTAGTGGAGGTGGAAGGTCAATGGTCTGTTCGATCCTTGGCTGCCATCAGCCACTATGTGTGACTTCCCCCTCTCCCTCTCTTTAGATTAGACTAGAATAAGTTATATTATCGTTGTTGGAAAAAAAATAGGATTGGAACTTCCATGAAAGGAAATTGAAAATTAAAAAGGGAAAGGGAAAGTGGTTGCATTCACAAGAAAACTTAAACAAAAATAGATTGCAAGAAGGCTCAAAGAAAACCCATCCATCCCAACAATAGTCTTAAGCAGACTTAAATAACCAAAAAAAATTAAAAAAAAAACTCTTCAATCCCAACAATCTCTTCCTTATCATGTACTTGTAATTATTTGTTGGTAATTTTTAGAATTTTGTCATTACACATAAGAATCACCAACTTTTCAAGTTGATGAATACAAATTGTTTACATTACTAAAAATGTTACCACCATAATAATTGCATAAATAATATAAATTAATGTATCAAAATAAGCACGTATAATGATTTATTGCATTTTGGGATTGATTTTTCAAAATAAATCAATCATTATTTCATTAATTTATTAAAATTTGATCAAAACAAGTTATCATCTTTAAAGTCATGTAATACATTCTTATTGACAATGAACAAAAAAAATGTACTTCACTAATATATTTTAGGTTGTTACCTGTGCATATTCCAAGTTCTCGGTATTTTTTTTTTGTTAAGGAGTAAAATTAAAGATTTTTGTACATGTAGTCATTTTTTTCCATCAACTAAACGTCACTAGCATAACAAAAAAAAAAGGGGAGAGATGAACGAGGGTGACAAATAAAGGGAAAGTGCACTTTTTTTCTTTTTTTTTTTGTCATTAGAAAGGGCACTTGAAATATAAAAAAGAGCTGCAAAACAATGCAGAGAAAGGGTTAGGTAGAACTTTGAGTGTGATTGAATAGTAGATTATTTGAAATAATCTTTTTAAAAAATACTATAGTATTTTTATGTGATATATATGAAATAAAAAAATATTGGAAAAATGTGTTTGAATAAAACATCTTCTTCCTCTTCTTCCCTTTTTTTTTAATAAGGAATGCATCAAAACTAAGGCTATAAACGAGTCGAGTCAAATCGAATTTTAACCTAATCAAGCCGAGTCTTGACTTAATTTTATTAGTTTGAATTCGAGCCCAATCTCGACAAGCTGCCAATCTAAAGCTCAAGTTCGAACTTGACTAAAATTCGAGTCGAGTCTCGACAAGCTGCCAATCTAAAGCTCAAGCTCAAACTTGACTGAAATTCGAGTCGAGCTCGAACTCGAAAAAATATATAAGATAATTATTTTATTTTTAAAAATGAATAAAATAATATTTTTTCTTAATAAATAATTAAAAATATATATGTAATTTTACTATTAAAATAAAAGTAATATATATATACTTGCGAACTAACAAGTTTAATATTTTGAATTCGAGTTTGATTTGACCAGTTCGAGTTCGATTTGAATTCGAGTCAAACTTTAACTTGAGCCGCTCACGAAAGATTCAATTCGTTTGCAACCCTAATCAAAACACCTTACTTATACCCATATAAAGGAATAAATAAATTCTAGTAATGAATGCTAGGCAATACAAAACTCATTGAACAACTTTAGTTAGGGTGAGCAAATTCGATACATATCAAATTCATAACCGAATTCAAATTCAATTCGATAATTTGAAATCGAGTATTTGGTAATTTGGTACAAATTTGGTACATACCAAATTCATCGAATTCTAATATGGTATGAAATAGGTAATGAGATTATAAATTTGGTAATAACCGATTTCATATTCAAATTCGGTAATTGAAATAGGGTACTGCATTACCGTATTCGAATACCAAATTGGTATATAAAATTATATAATATATAGATGAATGCTATTTAGTATTAGTATATACTACTAATATATTATTATATTTTATAGGTAAATGCTATTAATAATAATTAGTATATGGTATTATCATCATATCATGTACTTATAATAATAATAATATATAATAATGTACAATATAGTATTTTAGTATTTGTTAATTGTTATATGACTATATTAATACAAATATATAGTAATATATAACAATATAAGATAACTCTAATACTTATTATTTTATACATGAGTAACATGACTAGAATTAGATAATAATTAATACATATATGTATAATACTAAATATTAAACAATAAACATAATTAGTAATTAGAATTTAGATATTGGAAATTTGATACATCATTCATGTTTGAATTATTGAATATTTGAATGCGTAATCTGTAACTTGCAAGTATTAGTGTGCTATAAATTTACATTACATATTTAACATGAAAATTCATATTATCTATTCCCTAATCTTAAGACTTTAAGTATAGATAAGACAACTAAGCAGTGTAAGTGAATGCATGTAAATTGCAGGGTATTATTATCTTTTTTTTTAATAGATGAATTCGGTCTATTCAAATTTGAAATCGGTTGCGGAATAAATTTGGTTATGGTCAATTCAAAATTGAAAACAGTTTAGATTTCTATAGGTGAAATAACCGAATTCATTGCACCGAATTACTGATTTTGCACCGAATGCACACCCCTAACTTTAGCACGATCTGACTACCAATTAAATGGATGACAAGCAAGGACGACGAGCAAGGACGACCATATTAACTGCCAACCAATTAGACAATCAAATAGTAGGTCCTCTATACCTAACAAAATATGATAGGAAAGTGTTAATATATAGCATGTGTAATCTAATAGAAACCAAAAAAAAAAAGCAAGATGAAAAAAGGGAAGAAAAGTTTCTCAGAAGCCTGGCTGGTATTAACAACAGCGTGAATGGTGAAAAAAGGGACAAAAGTTTCTCGAAAGTCTTTTTACGTTATTCTTAACTATACAAAAAAAAAAAGAAAAAGAATACATGCAGTTTAGGCTAGTGCTTTGGACTATTAATAAAATCTTGAACAAATATGCGCAAGATGCCCACCATATGTATCGCAAAATAAAAGTGGGGGACTCTAAAATTTGATAATCGCAATTAGAAATTGATGATTTTACCAGTAAATTTATTTACCAAGAAGATTTTAGCCATGAGAATAGTGCATTCTTGCAATATTTGCTAAAAGTTGTCTTGCAACATTGGCGACAAAGTAACACTCTAGTATCTAGTGAGAACACGAGGGATAAAAGGGAGGGCTACTGCATTAAATTGGTGGCCGTGATTGGCTAATGAGATATAAGATTAAAATTAAAGACTCAAACCACGACACATAAATTTGGCATGCTAATAAATACACAGAGTCTTTGTGAAATATATGAAAAGAATAAATTATATATGTCTATTACAAAATTATATATAAATCATGTGTAATAAAATATAATTATTTTAGACTTTGGACACTGTTCTCTAGTGATTGGACTGAATTCCCAAATAGTAGAATTTATTAAAAAAAAAATCAAACGGTGATGTTTTTCAAACTCTCCCAATAGGGTGAAAATCATATTTAGTGAATATGTTTTACAAAATTCTTTTTTTAATTCATCCAGATATTGATTTCTCACAAAATAGCATCCAATAAACACATGATTTAGAAAAATTGATCCATATTTCAAAATTATCACTATTTGAAAACTCTTTTTAAAAAAAAAAAATCATAATTTGGAAATTTTCCCCTAGTGATTGCTTTGTGCCTTCCCAACCCTTTCCTCTTGAATACCCAAAAAATAATTGGCCAAGTATGAAAATGCTTTTCTAACGATTAGCTGCAAACTGCCAAAAGTATTGATGAAAGGATATTGGGCCCAATCTAAAAGAAAAGCGAAATTTTTTTTGTTTGGATAGAGTGTTTGGATAGAGTATTATTTAAAATATTATTTGGAATAATTACTGTAGCACTTTTTGTGATGTGATGTATGTGAGATAAAAAGTTGATTGAGAATATAAAAAGGTGGATTGGAAAATGTGTTTATGATGCAAGTGAAATATTATTTGAAATAATATGTGTATCCAAACACTCCCAGTATTATTTGAAATAATTACTGTAACACTTTTTATGATGTGATGTATGTGAGATAAAAAGATAGTTAAGAATATAAAACGATGGATTGAAAAATGTATTTATGATGCAAGCGAAATATTATTTGAAAAAAACCTGCTATCCAAACACTTTTATTTTATTATTAATAAAACCAATCCTAGTCTTGTCAACTCAAGCATGCCAAAACAGAGTAGAACATTTTTTCTTTGTTGAAGGTTTGAAGCTCTGTTCTAGTTTCTCAGACATCCCTCAAACAACGGACAGCAAGCAATAGCAGGTAATCAAGAAAGCATTTCCAGGTTTGTCTTGAAATGGTTTAGTTTAGTTGTTTTATGCATACCCTTTTGCAGAAAGTTCAGAGTTTTTTTTATGTAATATGTAACAATATTATGCTGTTAATTGTTGTCTGGATACAGAAGGATCTTTTTGACATTGAATAACTATTGTGATGTTGGGTAGAAAATAACTTATTATGGAATATGATCCTAAAAGGTGCGAAAGTTAACCGGAAGAGGTTAATCTTTAATGGAAAATAAAATCTAGTGTCCTCTAGCCTCGTAGCTGAGAATCTTGTTATATTGAAAACCTGGTGGGAGATTAATTTGGTTCAAATGTAAAATTTCCTGTGAAACTTATGAAATCAGTAAACATTTAAGCTGAGAAAATTTTAACTATAACTTATGTGTGTTTTGACTGTGTCAGTGTGAAAGGTTTAATTGGAGGTAGAGTGGTCTGGATTAGTTTGTCCGATTGCTAAATGTGGGAAAAGATGGCCATTACTCGTCCCAATCCTCATTTAATCATGATCCAATGCATTGTTGTAGATATAGTCGATATTGGTCACATTTATCTATCTTGATCTTCAGAGAGTGCTGTTATATTCTGGGATCATGGACTTTTAGTTGTCAATGATGGCAATTTCAACTGTAGAATTTATTATTAACCGTGTAGATCTTCTTGTACCACTTGTTTGTATCTCCTGCATTACTTTCCTTAGAGCCATGAAGTCGCTTGTTTTAGATATTTGGACAGTTGTATCCAGAATCCATGAGCTTGCGGAAATGTCCTCTTTGCATTGTTTTTCATCACTAGTTTAGCCTTTACATTTTAACCTTCTTGTGTTTAAGTAGTTGATACGTTTCTCACCACTTTGCTTTTTCTATTATCCTATAACAATTTTCTTAGAAAAACTTTTATTTTCTATTAGATAATAGATAGAGATCTGGAATTCATTTGAAGCTACAACTAAGACGGTGCACAGTTGTTATGTCTCTGGGCAAGGTTGAGGTAGCAAGACCCATGACGTTGTCTAGGAATTGATGGTGGGCATATCCATAATAGATCAATGGCCAACAGAAAGGCACATGTGCACATAAAGAAAAACCAAGATCACATTTATAAGCTAATGAACTCATACTTTATGTTGATGTGCGCATATATGTTTGCATGTTTTCAAGTATTTGGTGGACAAATTACGGTACCAGTTGGTCACGCATTGTGATAATTTTTATGCTTCGTTCCTAACAAAAGTTCATGCCGTAGCCAGTTTTGATTTTAATAGTATTGCAATTTCTTTCTTTCTTGCTGGAATGTGTAACCATTTGCATCATGATACAGGTGTTTTGGAGTGGCACATTGGCAATGGACCAGAATAGTGTGGAACTGCAGGCAAAAGAAATTCTTAAACTTCTCAAGGAAAAACATGTGTCAACAATTGTTCTTTCTAGGAAATCAGGAAGTGGGAAAACATGGATGGCAAGAAAAGCTGGTCTGCTCGCAGTCACAAACGAAAGAGTTGACATTATGCTTTGGATTTCTTTGAGTGTTAGGCATGATGAGATGTCTCTCTATGAGCATATTGCTTGTCAGTTGTCTCTACTTTCCACTTTTGCGGAGCTGCTAATTGATGATATCGAGCAGGTACAGGATGACAATGGTAAGGAGGAAGCCTTGGATGGCTTGAAAGAAAAGGTACAGAAAAAACTTTCAGCTAGTAATGTTCTTCGAGGGATACTTGTAATTTTGGATGATGAAGGAAAAAAAATGAGAGAAGGCGATCGAGACTTAGATCAAGTCCTTCAGTTTATCACGCATAATGCCTACCAGCAGTCAATAGAAGTTGCTGATGGAGATGGACAGCAAAAACTTAAGGTGCTAATAACTTGAAAGAATGAAGATACGAGGCACCAAACTCGGGGGGATAAGGAAGTGATTGACATGAAATGTCTAACTCCAGAAATGTCAATTTCTTTGTTAAAGCAATGGGCTGTGGCAAAAGTTTTTGAAATTTTAGGTGTTGAAATTTTAGTTGAAAACTTCATCGATAAAAATTAAGAACTTACACCTGGAGAAGTAGCCTTGCTAGCAAACCTACTAAATTACCATCAACATGATTCCAAAGTGCAGGATCTGCAACCGGCTTTGGAAGAAGCATGGGGTGGTGATGACTACAATTACACCCTATTGCTCTCAAGTGGATACGGAGGGGTGTCAGATCGTATTTTAGTTGAATTTTCTTGGCAGGGCAGCCATTTTTTCCGTGACCATGGATCTGTTCACTACGGTGAGCTGATATCATACTGGACACTAGAAGGATATCTTAGTCCTTTTAACAATCTTAAGGAGGCTTATGAGGAGGGACACTGTGTTTTGATGCAGCTTATGTACTGTCAAATGCTGAAAGAAGTAGGTGATGATTTCCTCCAAATGGTTAGAGGAACCATACTTATTAACTATCATCATCAAGGATATGGTGGAATAGCTAATCTGGGGTTGGCTAATGTTATTGTGAATAGTAATGACCGGGATGGCATTGGAAAAGTCACTTCGGTGGATGGTGTGATCAGAACACTAGTCAATCATAAAAAAGTGCAGCAATCAAAGGCACTTTTACTGGACGGGAACTGTCTCAGCGGGGAAGATCCGAATAGTCTCCTACTGAATAATCAGGAACTGCAAATTCTGGGTCCTTTCAGCCTCAGAATTAAATCATTGCCTCATTGCTTCTGCTGCCTGAAAAAACTGAACGTCCTTGTGCTCAGGGACTATGATTTCTTAGAAAAGATTGATGAAATTGGAGAACTAACGACGTTAACTGTCCTTGAAGTATCTGGTTCTGGCTTGATAGAAAGTATACAAGATAACTTTTTTCAACAAATGTGATAGGTTGCAATTTTATCATTTATTTTATTATTAATTTCTCCTATTACCTGATCCGATGTGGATAAATTAGCGATTCTACTCATTTCAAGGAGTAGAACGAAAATACCACAACCAATGCCAATTTGGCATTCATCAGGAAAGAGATCAAGTAGCAGGCATCTAGGGGCATTTTTGGAACAAGATGATGCGGCCCTTTTTGGTAACTTGCGGAAGACAACTTTCAAAGAGGAACAAAAAGGCTGAAGTCTTCTTCATGATAAAAAGCCGCCGCACAGTAGGATGAATATAGGACTAGTAGATAGGAATTAGAATTAGGAGCAGAGGATTGTGTCTCCTTTAGCTTAGTTTTACTTTGACTTTTCCCTGGGATTTCCTTTTGCTTTCCTCTCGCATGTCAGGAGTAGAATACTTTTAGCTTTGAGACTTTTACTCTTCTTTTGGCTTCGTATCGGCTTTTCTTCTTTTGGATGTCAGGACCAAACAAAGCAATGAACTACATCCTCTAGCTTTACTTTTTCGACAGTATTCCAACGACATGAATTTACCCAATTGATGGGCGCTGCTTTCTTTGCAATTTTGTATGGGTTTTTCGCATCAAATATGAACTAATTACTTCACTCTAGTCAAGGAACAATGGAGGCTTTGGTTCGCCTAAAAATTGTGAAATCGATTTAATTTTATCATTTTCTTTTATTTATTGGTATTCGCATATCCCTTGATTGCAGTATTCATGATTATTTACTTAATTGATTATTTTGGATTCGGATAATTAGTTGATTTGATAATCTATTGTCAGTTAGGGTATTAAATCCGTAATTGTTTAATTGTCTTGAATTAGTGACAACTGGCATGATTAGGTTTGTGTTAGGGGGATACGCGGACTAATCTGAAATAACCCTGATAGTGCGTTATTTGATTAGAATAGGGTTTCTCTAATATGTAAGGTAATTGGGGAATTAAATCTTACGGGCGTACCTAGAATTATTTCTCAATTAGAGCAGTGATTAACGGGCGTACCTTAATCACCAACACAGTAAGGAGATGTTGACTGTCATCACTTGTTTAGCAGTTATAACCTATTTATTGGTAAAATAATTGAAATTGCTTGTGCATCAATAATCAATTAAGTGAACCATTGCTGAAGTTATTTCTTGGCTAGATCTTTAATTATTATTACCTTGATTTTAGTGAATTGTTATTTAATTTTTAGTTGGCTATTTTATTCTTAGTTGAATTGTTGTAATTGTTACCCTTTATAACAAAACACCCCCTATGTTACTTTGAATTTCTAAAGAAACAAATATCTCCAATTCCTGAGAATACGACCCTACTTGCCCTGTATACAATTTAATAATTATTTGTGAAAAACCATCCCATTCAGGTATATCGGATCAAACAAACTCTTCGAGAATAGGGTGAATCAAGTAACCCATTGCACACCTAAAGTCCCTATTCCAGTACTTGAAATTGGGTTTTGATTACTTTATTTGGCAATTAGGTTTGATTTTATTATTGCACAGTCTTCAACAACCTGTCAATTTTTGGCGCCGTTACCGGGACTGGTGTTAGTATTTGTTTCATTTTCAATTCATTTTTGCTCTAATTTTCTGGTATTTTTCTAGTGTATGTCTCGATTTTCTCGTACAGCTGAATTGATTTTTGACCTTGAGGTAGAGAGACCCGCACGGAGAACACGAAAAGAGACCAGACAGCTCAGGAAGGAGCAATCCGGTACTGCACTTCAGGGACTTAATCCAGAGGTGGAGTCGGCAAATTTGCGTGGTGATAATTCAAGTGATTCGGACTAAGAGGAAGTCACCATGGCTAATGCACGAACACTAAGGGAATTGGCTGCTCCTGATTTAAATCAGCAGCCTTTGTGCATTATTTTTCCAAGTTTAGATGATAACACTCCATTTGAATTAAAATCTAGTCTAATTCATCTCTTGCCATCATTTCATGGTTTACCAGGTGAAGAGCCGTATAAGTACTTGCAAGAGTTTGATGTAGTTTGCAACAGCATGAAACTCCCGAGCATTACAGAAGAGCAGGTTAAAATGAGGGCATTCCCCTTCTCCTTGAAGGACTCTGCAAAAAACTGGTTGTACTACCTACCACCAGGTAGCATTACCATGTGTGACCAATTGAAGATAAAATTCTTAGACAAGTATTTTCCAACGTCCCGAGTTGCAAGTCTAAGAAAGGAGATATTTGGTATCAAGTAGCACCCAGGGGAGTCGCTCTACGACTACTGGGAACGATTCAAGAAGTTGTGCATCAAGTGCTCCCAACACCAAATAAATGAACAGTTGCTCATACAATATTTTTACGAGGAGCTACTCTTCAGAGACAGGAGTATAATTGATACTGCAAGTGCAGGGGTTCTGGTGAACAAGACCCCTCGAGCAGCGTGGGAGCTAATTGAAGGAATAGCGAAGAATTCACAGCAATTTGGTACAAGAGAAGATGTCCCGATACGCAAGGTGAATGAAGTAGAGACATCCTCTATCCAGCAGCAGCTGACTGATTTGACTTCTTTTGTTAGGCAGTTGGCTGTAGGAAATGCATCTCAGGCCAAGGTGTGCGGGATTTGTACTGGTATGGGTCATTCTACGGAGATATGTCCAATGATTCAAGAGGAAAGTGCAGAGCAAGTAAACATGATTGGTCACACGCCCGCGCCAAGAAAGGCCTATGACCCGTAGTCGAATACGTATAACCCGGGTTGGAGGGACTATCCCAACCTCAGCTATGGAAGGAACAGACAATCTAACTTTGTGTTAAATAGACAATAAGGGTACCAGCAGCAGTACCCTCCCTGACCACCTCAGCCACCGAACTCTAGTCCATCTTTGGAGGAGATAATGAAACAACTGATGGCTACTACCGCGTAACATCAACAAAAGACGGACTCCGAACTGCATAACAAAAGAAATCAAATGAGCCAGATGCAATCCATGCAAAATCAAATGAACCAAATAGCCATAACAATCAACCGTTTGGAGTCCCAAGTCCAAGGTAAATTGCCATCTCAGCCTGAGTTGAACCCAAAGAACGTAAGCGCGATGACCCTAACGAGCGGGAAGGAAATCCAAGGATCCGAACCTGTGATCCCAAAGGACAAGAATGAGGAAAAAATTGAGAACGAGCTTGAGAAGGAGGACAGCAGTGGCACAAATCCAAAGGTACTCCCCGACCCAGTCATTATAGTTAAGACTAACCCACCTCCCTTTCTTAGCAGGTTGGAGAAACCGAGGAAACAAGATAAGAAGAAGGAAATCATGGAGGTATTCCGCAAGGTACAGATTAATATCCCCCTCTTAGATGCAATCAAACAAGTGCCGAAATACGCAAAATTTTTGAGAATTTGTGTGTCAATTGAAGGCGGTTTAGGGGAGATGAAATGGTCATTGTAGGGGAGAACGTGTCCGCAGTTTTGCAGAGGAATCTCCCACCAAAGTGTGGGGACCCAGATATGTTTACTATCCTCTGTAGGATAGACAACACTTTGATTAGGAAGGCCATGTTGGATCTGGGAGCCTCGATTAACGTCATGCCTAGATCCATCTATGCTTCTTCAAACCTAAGTCCATTAAAAAACAAACTGGGATAATCATTCAATTAGCTGACCGAACTAATGCATATCCTGATGGGTTGGTTGAAGATGTGTTGGTAAAAATTAATGATTTGATATTTCCAACTGACTTTTATGTACTTGATATGGTTAATGATCACTCCCCCGATCCCCCACCTTTGTTATTAAGTAGATCTTTTTTTAGCACAGCACAAACGAAAATTAATGTTAATAAGGGCACCTTATCCATGGAATTTGATGAAAAAATTATGCATTTTAATATCTTTGATGCTATGAAATACCCCTCAAACTCTAACTTTAGTTCTATTTTTTCTGTGAGTGCTATTGACCCTGCGGTGCAGGAAGTGTTTGAAACTGTTGGCAGGGATGAGTTGGAGGTTACTTTAACCAAGCACCTTGAGTTGGAGACAACTCCTGAGATGGAGTGGAGTGAAGATTTGAAATGCACAATAGGAGCATTACACTCGTTGCCAACCACAACGAAAAGATATGAAATTTTACCTATTTTCATTCCTAAAGCTCACCAAAGGGTATTACCATCTGTGATGCAGGCACCTGTGTTGAGTTGAAACTCCTGCCGAAGCACTTGAAATATGCGTATTTGGGCAACAACGAAATACTACCGGTGATTATATCAGCTGCACTCTCGGAAACCCAAGAGGAGAACCTAAACCGAGTCCTTAGAGAACATAAAAAGGCAATAGGGTAGACCATCGCCGACATCAAGGGGATCGGCCCCTCCATCCGTATGGACCAGATTAGGTTGGAAGAGGATGTCAAACCCGTACGGCAAGCTCAAAGGAGGCTCAACCCCCTTATGATGGAAGTGGTGAAGAAAGAAATTCTGAAGTTGCTCGATGTAGGGATCATCTTCGCGATATCGGATAGCCCATGGGTGAGCCCGATCCAGGTGGTCCCAAAGAAGATAGGAGTGACAGTGGAGGCTAATCAAACGGGTGAACTCGTACCAGTGTGCAAACCCACTGGATGGAGGCAGTGTATTGACTACCGTAGGGTGAACGCCGTCACCAAAAAAGATCATTCTCTCTCCCTTTCATTGACCAAATAGTTGAACGTTTAACTTGTAGGGTTTACTATTGCTTTTTGGATGAATTTTCAGAATATTTTCAAATAACAATTGCACCAGAGGATCAAGAGAAGACGACCTTCACGTGCTCGTTCAGGACCTTTGCATATAGACGGATGTCATTCGGGTTGTGCAATTTACCTGCAACTTTCCAGAGATGTATGGTAAACATCTTTTCTGAATATATTGAGAAAATAATTGAGGTTTTCATGGACGATTTCAGTATATATGGTGATAGTTTTGATACATATCTAGATAACCTGAGATTAATCTTGTTAAGATGTATAGAGACCAATCTTGTGCTTAATTGAAAAAAATGTCATTTTATGATTGAATATGGGATAGTCTGAGGTCATGTTGTGTCTTCTAAAGGTATTGAGGTTGACAGGGTTAAAATAGACATTATGTCTGCTTTACCTTACCTCGCGAGTGTGCAAGAAGCACGCTCTTTTCTTAGGCATGCAAGTTTTTATCGGAGGTTCATCAAGGATTTTTCGAAAATTGGAGCCCCATCAATCCAACTTTTACAAAAAGATGTAGCCTTCGAATTCGATGACAAGTGCGAGAGAGCCACGCTAAAGACGCTGTTGACCTCGCCACCGATCATCCAATTCTTGACTGAAATTTGCCATTTAAGATCATTTGCGATGCCAGTGATCATGCTATAGGGACTGTATTGGGACAAAGAGTAGGAAACACAACGCACGCCATCTACTACGCGCCCCGAGCTTTGAATGGGGCTCAACTGGACTACTCCACTACTGAGAAGGAGTTTCTAGCGGTTATTTTTGCCTTAGAAAAGTCTAGGTCATATTTATTGGGTACTAAAGTTATTGTATTTTCTGATCATGCAGCGTTAAGATACTTAATGACCAAGAAAGATGCAAATTTGAGACTCATAAGGTGGATACTGCTCCTGCAAGAATTTGACCTGGAGATAAGGGATAAGAGAAGCTCAGAGAATTTAGTAGCCGACCATTTGAATCGTATACCCGTTAGAAAGGAGAACGAGCCATTAAAGGATGCATTCCCGGAAGAACATTTATTTTCTCTAAATTCTCAATTGACTTGGTATGCCGATTTAGTCAATTATCTAGTAACAGTTAATTTCCCTGCAGGTTGGCCAAAATCGAAGAGGGATAAATTGAAGAGCGACGCTAAGAATTTTATCTAGGATGACCCGTACTTGTGGAAGAGGTGCGTTGATCAAGTAATGAGACAATGTGTAAGTGAAACTGAATTCCAGTCGATTTTAACTTATTGTCATACTTTTGCCTGTGGAGGTCATTTTGAACCAAAGAGAACTGTTCATAAGGTTTTAGAAAATGGATTTTATCAGCTTTCATTGTTTAAGCATGCTTATGTGTTTTGTAAGTCGTGTGATCGCTGTCAAAGGGTGGGTAATATAGCCCGTAAGGATCATATGCCCCAAGTTCCGATGATTTTTGTCAAAATTTTTTATGTCTGGGGTATAGATTTCATGGGACATTTTCCTGCTTCATTCGGTTTTATATATATTTTGTTGGCAGTCAATTATGTATCTAATGGGTGGAGGCTAAAACCACTCGGATTAATAATTCGAAAGTAGTTGTAGATTTTATCACGTCTAATATTTTTGTATGTTTTGGGATGCCAAAGGTAATTAACGAGCTTTTACAACAAAACTATAGCCGCGCTGTTTCGCAAGTACGGTGTACTTCACAGGGTCTCAACATCGTACCACCCACAGATCAATAGTCAAGCGGAGGTATTGAATCGGAAAATTAAGTCCATCTTGGAGAAAATGGTGCGACCTGATAGGAAGGACTGGAGTCAAATGTTGGAAAATGCACTCTGAACATATCGGACTGCGTACAAGACCCTCATAGGGATGCCACCCTATAGATTGATATTTGAAAAGCCGTGTCACCTTCCAGTGGAGTTCGAGCACAAGGCTTTTTGGGCAATTAAACAGTGTAACATGAACCTAGAAGAGGCCGGTGCCCATCGGAAGTTAGATTTACAATAATTGGAGGAGATCCGGAACGAAGCGTATGAAAATGCATTAATTTACAAGAAAAGGAGTCGGGCATTTCATGATCAACAAATCTCTAGAAAAACCTTTGAAATTGGACAGAAGGTCCTCTTGTACCAGTCCAGGCTCAAACTCTTTTTAGGTAAACTACGTTCCCGTTGGATTGGACATTTTATTGTTACTCACATATTTTCATATGGTGCAATTGAAATTCAGAGTGGTAAGACAGACAACAAGTTTGTGGTGAATGGGCACCGTCTCAAACATTATTACGAAGATTTTTCAAGTGGAGAAGTGGAGACGAAACGTCTAGATGCACCGCTGTGCCCCAATTAAGGACACCTTACCATGTCTAGCCAAAGACATTAAAGAAAGACGCTCATTGGGAGGCAACCCAATTTCTTTAAGTTGTTTGTTCGGTTTTGTACGATAGTCTAAATGTGTTTTCCTTGAGTTTGACTAATGTTTGGATTCAATTTTCATTTTTTTTGATAATTTGTAGGTGTCTTTCTGACTTGACGCTCCTGCATCATGTTGTACAGAGAGCTCAAGGTCAGAAGGGTTCTGACCTTCTTGATGCGCCCGCATCATGTCGTACAGAGAGCTCATAGTCAGAAGGGTTCTTGCCTTCTTGACGTGCCCGCGTCACGTTCGCGAGAAAGGTAAGTATTCAAAACTCGAAAACAGTTTCCGATTTCCTGTTACTCTCTAATTTTAAATTTCGAAAATAAGTTTTGTTCATAATAAAATTAAATTTTTTTTTTATTAATTAAAAAAATAATTTTTTTAAAAATTAATTTAATAAAAAAATAAAACAATTAATTAATAAAAAAAATTTAATTCTATACGTAAATAAAAAATTTCTGAAAAAAAACTATTTTTTTTGTTTTTCTCTTTTCTTTTGTTTTTCTTTCTTTCTTTCCTTTTCTTTCTTTTTTCCTCCTCTTTTCTTTCTTTCTCCTCCGCTGTTTCTTTCTCTCTGTCGACCAAGAGCTCTTGTCCGCCGCCA